CATGGCTGGTGACCCTGGCCTCCTGTCACCCTGGCATGGCTGGTGACCCTAGCCTCCTGTCACCCTGGCATGGCTGGTCACCTTGGCCTCCTGTCACCTGACCTCCTTTCAGCGACAGTCCTGTTAGTTCAGTTTGCTCAGAACTCCTAGTGACTTCCCATCCATGGATCCCAGCCCACCCAATGGCTGTGAACCCCACTTCTCCTTGTTGAGTTCGGGGTGAGCCCAATCCCTCTCCTCTGCTATGAACACTCACTGCTGTAACTCCTGCACCTGCCACCATGGTCCTGAATAGTCTGCCTCGCTGCAGATAAGCATCAGCATTGCAGAATTTTTCTTGACCTCTTTCTCACCTCACCTCTGATTTCCACCCGTGTTGGCCTGGTCTCAAGTCTCTGTAGTACCTAGCAACTCAGCGTACAATGTCCCTCTGTCCAGAACGTTCTTTTCCTGGCTCTACCCTTGCCTGGATCCTTTTCCACTATCAACCGGTATCTGAAGTGCCTGACTACCAGTCTCAGGCCAAAATGAAAAAGTGCTTCCCAGCCCCATCCCTGCTACCCCAGCGTGTGGTGTGGGGGTCAGGACGCTGCACTGCTGTGCTTCCCTGTCCCCCAGTGCCAGGCCGGCAAACCCCCTCCTGGCTTCCTCTGCTCTGGGCAGTGTGGAAGGGCACTCTGGTCCCAGGGCACAGTGGGTGTGAGGGACTACACCCTCCATACCCCTGTCCTTGCCTTGGTGGCTGGGCAAAGACAGAGGACCCCAGGGCCCTTGGGGATCATGGAAGCCATTAGGCAAAAGGAGAGTGAATCCAAATGAGAGTTTGGAAAAAGACCTCTTCAGTCCATAGGGACTGCAGTGTGAGTAAGAAATCAACCTTCAGGGGGGCACCTGTGGCTCAAAGGAGTAGGGCACCAGCTCCATATATTGGAGGTGGTGGGTTCAAACATGGCACTGGCCAAAAACTGTAAAAAAAAAAAAAAGAAATCAACCTTCATCTTATCCTACCATTAACATTTGTACCTTACTCAATGTAGATGTTAGTCTTTTCTGAACAATACATTTTTTAACTTTCTTCATATTATCTGCGAACAAAACCAAATTATTTGGTTATAGAGGTGACACCTGCCTCCCCCCAGCCAGGGGCAGGACTTCAGGTTCTTAACTGCTCCTGTGACCCACGGTAGCAGAGCAGCCAGTGACAAGTGCACAGCAGGTGAATAGCCACTGTCAGGCTGGCCTGTGGCATACTGGACAGGCAGGATTGGGAACAGCCGCTGACAGGCCAGCCCTTGGCATACTGGACAGGCAGAATGGGGAAGGGGCAGCAGAGTCTCCAGAGCTGCCTCCTCTGCCAACTGAGCTCGAGCCCACTGATGTAACCCACCCTAACCCTCCCAGGTCTCTGCGTCTTCCTGGAACTGGAAGATGGATGAGCTTCTTAGAGCCATTTGCTAGAAAGAGAAAGGGAGTCGCTGGGTGGCTTTTCACATCAGCGTCCTGGGAGAGTTATGGTTACGACAAGTCGCCCTGTGGAGGGCTGTTCATCACCCACAG